TGTCAGTTGAGGATCTTTGAGAACCAGCTGTACAGAAACCAGAAAGAGCAGCTGTTTGGACTGAATAAAGACCTGCTGGCCATCCGCATGGCCTCTGTCAACCCTATCTTAGACCCTTGGATCTACATCCTGCTCAGAAAGACAGTGGTCCTCAAGCTAATGGAGAAAATTAAGTGCCTGTTCTGCAAAATGGGTGGACGGGGGCGAAGGGACGGCAGACAGTTCCGCTGCAACAATGGCCACCTCTCCTCCTCCATCATCTCCCAGGACTCGCCAACTCTGTTGTCGCATGAGCTGCGGGAAATGGTGAGCAGCTCGCAGACTTTTCTGTACCTGCCCGAGGGGAACACCCGGAGGCCCGGGTCGTTTCAAGCGGGGCCACAGGCCGGCTCCAGTGCACCAGTGGTGCAGACACTGACATTACAGGGCCCACAGGAGGTTGAGGGGCCACAGAGGGGGCTTTCACCGAGTGATTTAGAGGACACAGCACCGGGCGGGCCACTGAAAGAGGTTCCAGTGTGCCCCAAGGACCCGGCTCTACACGTGACCTTCACAGACGAGACTGCAAACACACAGGAGAAATGCATATAGTGGTCAGCATTAGCTCAACAAACCTTCACCACTGTAATAAGACTGTCTCGGGACAGAAGATACGAACTAACAAGAGCACTGCAAAGACACGATCGTAAAGGAAAAGCCTCTGAAGACTGAATAATCATCCACTGATCTGTAGATATAGACTGCTGATAAAATGACAGATGTGTTATCTAAACACCCATTATCAATGTATTACTCCTCGTGGCTCACCACAAACACCACATCACCAAATAGTCTTCAGCACAGTCAGAACAGCTATACCAACACATCCACAGAGAACAATGTGACATCTTAGAGGAGCTCTTCTGTTGCACTTTTGAATTCTGACTTCACTGCAAGGGCTGTTCGTAATTTCAGTTTCGTAGCATTCTGACAACCTGCACAGTGACTGTAAAGAATTAATGCTAAAATGTGATGATGTTTATTTATTCTGAGTATGAAATGATACTTTTATTGTCTTCTCTGTGAGAAGGTCCAGATAGTTTGGAGTCACTTTAAATTGGTACAAGATGGACATGTTCAAAGTTTTTTTTTTCTTTTTCTTTTCTGTAGGAACATTTGCAAAAAATTGGGTCATACTGGTTGACAGAGCAGCTCAAACATCAAAGCTCGTACCAGCCCTTGTGTTTCGAAACAAAAAGGCAGCTATACTGTGGATTACTCACAGATACTGGAGGGCGTTACGAGGCCTCCTACAGTTACGTGTTGATATTAAATTGTTTTTTACTTCAATCACCATTTACATTTTGAGGATTATTTCAACGTAATCTTATTTACCCTTAATGTGACGTACAATGCCTCTCATCTAATCAGTTTTTAGTGCGGCCTTATTGAGAACAGAAGACACTGAGCTTCCTTTTTGGTTTTTCTTTTTCTTAAAATGTCTTAAAGGTTTCACACAAAACTGATGCTTTCGTTGCCATAACATAAATATCAAAATGTGTTCAGATTTCAATGTTAAACTTTTTTTTTTCCTGGAGCAACATCAACATCAAATTTAACATGGCGTGTTGTCTTCTGAACAAACTAATGTTGTACCAAACTCAAATAAATTTCAATTTAAAGTTGTTAATATTCATATAAATCAAAAAATCTCTGTCACTAACTTAGTTAATTAGCCTAAAAGTGTGTTAATATAACAGTTGGTTTATGATATTAAGCTAAACATGTACAGTGACTATGTTATGTGCTCTGTGACATATGTTTGGAGCCGCAATGCTCAATCGATTAATCAATTAGGAGATGGACAGAAAAAGGATCTGCAACTATTTTGATAACTGATATTGATATTTACAAAAGTCGTTTTTGAAGCAAACATGCTAGAATTTTATTTTCTTCTTTTATAACCATAAAGAATGTTCAGGTCTTTGAACGTCGGTTGGACAAAACCCAGGAATTTGAAACCAACAGTGATGCATGTTTTTCTCTAATTTAGACAAAAGGTTGATCGATTAATCAAGTCAATAGTTTTGATATTTATAAATCATGCAAAGCATCCTTCGTTAATGTGCAACATGCAGAACATCTGCAAAATGAATTATTAGGCCTCTACCAGCGAACACCTCTTTGAATCTTTGCTGAAAAAGGATTATTGATCCGTCGTCAACAGAATGAAAATTACTTCAATACTGATCATGTCAGGATAATGGAAGGCAGTATCATCTTTATGAATTAAAGCTATTAAAAATACTGGATATTAATGTGCAAAGAAATGCTGCGAAGCTATTCATGAAAACACTTGAAGAACTGTTTAATTCATTTCTATGTAAAAACAGGTCTAGAGATAGCATGAAATCCAAACCTGTCTAAATAGTGTTCTTGAGCCAGCATGTTCCTGTCAGTGACGTGTATCTGCCGAGAAAATATAGTTCAGACTTCATTTCATTCTCAGGCGGCGCTGATGACTAAAACATTTCTGACCAATGGACGCCACAGATGCCATGTCACTGCTCACCTGCAGACAGACGCTGTCTTTGCCCCTTGTCCAGGTCCCATGTGGCCGGTGTCCAGAGCCTTCCCAGAGCAGTAAAAACCTCCCTCCAATAACAATAAGCCATTAAGGAGAGCTGTTACCTCTGACTCAAAGATCTGTTAAAACTGTAGAGTCTCTCAGGAGGCAGAAACAATGATTGACAAAACAGTGGTGATGGGATTTAAACAGAGGGCAAAAAAGAAAACCGATTCTTCCTGGAAACTTTCCCCCTCTTTCCTCACCTCATCGGCTCACGCTAGAAATACACAACAGAATATCAGACCTGCTGTTCGACAAATTCAAACTTTTGTCATGAGAAGCATGTGAAAACAAAAAGCCTGCGAAAACAAATAAAGGTGCCACTTAATAAACATGACACTCAAAACCTGTGTTGAAGCTGTGGCCTTATGGCACAGCAACAAGGATATTATTGTCAGGATCAAGGTTAATTCAAGGGTGGAGTTGCATTCAGGTAAAATGTCATTAAAACACCCCCATACCAATGTTCACGGAACCTGTACTAATAGTTCAATATATTTCAGTAAAAACTAGATTGGCACTGATTATTTTTTATCAAGATCCATGAATTATTCTCTGAGGAATCAAAGTAATGGATGCTTTCTCGGGTCATGCTCCACCACCCCACAAACTTTCATGGAAGTTGAGTAGTTTTAGCATAATCGTGCTAACAAACAAACCCCGGCGAAAACAACTTCCTCGGCGGAAGTAAGAATGTCAACCTTGTGGTGGAGGAAACGTCTGTTCCTCTGGGGAACATCAACGTCTTCACCAAATTTCATGACCATCCTTAAGTTCTTAAGATATTTTGAAGAATTGGAACAAGCCCCGACAGAAGACATTCCAGATATTGTCAGACAGGGAACTGACAAAGCTATCAATAGAAAGAAAAATAAAAATGTCATACATGAGCAGCTGTAAGGTAGGGATGAGTAAGAACAGTCAAGGGAGTGATAATCATTTCAGTTTCATAGATTTGACTGACTGACTAGTAGTTGGACCATCCAGATACATGTGTATTTAACCTAAATTCACTTGGCACACCCTGATCATACACAGAAGCCTTCCTTTTATCATATTATGCAACTTCCAAAAACAACAACTGCTCCGGCAATGATTTGGGTGTGTCACAGACAAGGGTGTGTTAATGTATAATCATGTTTTTTTTTGTTTAATATTTGTTTTTCATTCAGAACAATTTGTAGAGATTTGTACTTTTCGTCTGTGACATTTAAACTTAAAAAAATAAACAAATGAGCAGTCGTACTTTTGAGTCCAATTTACTTAAAACAATAATGTTTCTCAGTCACCTGCTCGACTGCCACAAGACGACTCGGAATACTTTTGATCTTGTTATTTACAACAGCAGAAAGAAAACCAGACCACTGCTGACGTGCAGTGGTGTTAACGGTAGGGTTGGTCTTTTGTTTCTGAAACACTATTGAAATCCTTTTCACGTTCCGATTGCGATAAAGTTTTCTGTGGCCCTCACAGGTTTGTAATAAACGCGCCCATTTTTGGACCGAAAGAAATAATTGGCTGGCGTTCCCATCTATCATTAAACAACCTGCCTGCTGCACCCTGCCCGTGCTCTCGCAGCGCATGACCAGAGTCTTCAGCCTCAATGGGTGAGACGTAACGGCTGCATTTTTTTCAAAGTGTAGCTTGCTATTACTAGCGTTTCCAGGATTACCAACCCTAGCTTAAACTAACCAGTGAAGTAAACATAGTGTTTGTTCTGGTGCAGTTTTAGGACCTGTGTTATCTTGGGACTTTATGACCCTTTGACAGAAACCAACAGTGACATTTGAGGGTGGATGATGCAGCAACGGATTCAAACCCAGGACGCTGCAGTATGATTCTGCCAGCTGAGTTACTAGGACATCCAGTTCTTGTCATTCCAAACACACAAATACGCCTTTGGTTAAATTTGGCTGTTAATTGCATAGTTGTGCAATGTGCATAACACATGCATCTACTTTATCATGCATGTATTTGTTTTTGGCTTGAAGCGCTGTATTTGGTGCTTGGATTTCCTCTGATGTGCTGCAAGGAATGTCACAGTGACTTTCCTCTTTACTTGAATGCTGCCGTTGTGAAACTCTTATTCACTATCTACACGGGTCTAGAGAGGATATTGGATGTACGTTCATGAAATCTTGTGCAGACACAGATCGTCATCTTTGATCCTCCGACTTTTCCTCCGGCGCCACAAAACAGTTGGCGTTTACTTGAATACCCAACCCTCACAGAGCTATGGCAGTAGACGTAGACACTTGTTCTCTCACTTATTATACAGTTGTGGTTTTGTAAGGTTCAACTTCCAAAAACCAGGAGAAAAACCTCCAGAAAATATTTAAGAACAAGAATAACAATGTAGACTCAAATAAAAAACGCATGAAAATCAGCCAAATATGACACGTTTGTTATTTATTCACTCACTGACAATTTGTTGAGCATGTTCTGTATGCTCTTTTTAAGCAACCTAGCTGTTTCACATACACTTTTCACATTTGATGCACGATTGATGCAACTTGTCTAAAAAAGGCCTTCATCTAGACATTTTCCGAGTTTTCAACAGTGAAATGAAATGGCTGCCAATTTTAGCCAAGCGTTCTTTGAAATCCTGCTTTTATTTTCTTAAAAAGCAACAGAGACATCCGATATTTTCTGCATCATAAAGTAGGATCTAAAGTTACCACAGAGAACATTAGCAGCTATTGTGCTACTTGGTAGAAACACTGTTTATTTTATAATAAATGTCGGCATTAAGACAAAACAGATGTTCAAGTTTGTGTCTCAATGCATCTTTGCAACATGTGAGTCGATGCCTGTTGTTAAATGATGGATGGATGCTAAAAATCTTTGTGTGTGCATGTAAAAACCTGACATGCATATTGAACACCAACAAAATGGAAAATGTAAAACAGGGGATCACAGTTGTCAATTATTTATTGCATAACCCTTTCAACAGAATTTGTGAGTTCTCTTGTTGCCCTTTTTGTTACAGCTTCACACACCCAGAGCAGTTTAAGGAATAATCCAATTCGGGGCCAAAACTAAAATGAAAACTGAAACCAGGAGGAAGGATTCACGCTGAGATCAGATTAAAGTCCTCTTGCTTTGACAAACTGTTCGTTTGATGGTGTGGCCTCGTCCTCTGATGCCCCTTCTCCAGTGAGTACGTTTTTAATATTCCCCTCAGAGTCCACCACCACCGCGGTCCTCTTCATCTCCTCATAGCGAGTCTGTCGCTCAGCAACGGCCACACAGGCGGCCAGCACCTCATCAGACTCGAAATCATAGTCCTGCTCAAGCTCGGGGGCATTGAGGATCTGATTTTTGGTCTCCTCCTCTTGCCGCATCTTCTCCTTGGTGGCTAAATTTTGCTTCTGTAATCTCCATGCCCATGCCAGGTCTTCTCGCCACAAGGTGCTCTCTGACGGGCACAGGTGGATCGCAACCTGGAAAGACCTCACAGCCTGCAGGAACAGTGCCGCATCAGCAAAGGATTTAAACATGAGATGAGAGAGGTGGTGAAAAATGGGAGCACTTAATCTGTCAGTAAAGAGAAGTTTATTGTCTCCCACAAATTGAATAGTTAGAGCTCTTTCAGGCCTGTTTGTGGCTTCATCGTAATTCTCACGGATGAACCATAAGACACTGGCATTGGTGCAGCTGAAAAAGCAGGTGGCTTGTTTCATCATCGTGTCAACAAGCGAGACCATAATCTTTTTCGCGCAGTGTTGGAGGCAGATTTATCATGTCATTAAGAAGTCATCAATATTTCTGTGCTGACTTTGCACTTTGAAATCAAATTGATGATTATCTCATTGAACAGAAATAAAAATGGTTTCCAAGTATTAACGGGACCTGATATCAACCTTCCGCTGTGACGATTTTCCGTCAGTGAAAATGAAATAAATCCACCCTTACACTGTTTAATGTGAGTGGTGAGCTCATGGATCAGTTCTGACAGGTGTCTGAAACAGGTCGAGCAAATTAAAAAACCGAGTAGTTTAGTTTTGTAATGTGCGGTTTGTGTAAAATGGTAATGAAGCCAATAAAGGAAACTTGGCTCCATTGTCGAGAGTGGGTTCAAATAGTATCATTTTATTTTCAGTACGTCAGAGCTAAAAGTGATTCATCATTTACTCAAAAAGAAGTGAATGGGAACCTGCTTTACTCATCGGTATCATCTAATAACTTATCCAGGTTTAATTTAATACTTTAAGGATATTGTGTCACTGGTTTTCTTGTATTTATGACACGTAGATACACATAGATGCTAAACTGATCTTTTCGATCACTCTGTGGATGGCCTGTCACTGTCATACGCTGTAGAGAACTGAACTCTTATAGGGAAGGTCACAGTCAAAAATGTATCTTGAAGAATTGGAAATGCTCGTCTAGCTGCTTTCAATTTTCGTTATGATAGAACTCGCTCTGGTGAAAAAGGTTTCTCTGTGGTGGGACAATTTTCCCACCACAGAGAAACCTTCAGTAGCACTGTGAAAAAGTTATGTTTGCTTCAAGTGATACCTCCAGGGCGTTTAAAGATATTTATTGGGCAGTTAGTGAAATGGAGAATGGGTGGAAGACATGCAGCGAAGGGTCGCTTGGTAACAATCCCACGACCTCCATATTATTTACTAAAACTAAATAAATGTAACTCTAAATTGGTTTAGGGTTAAGAACTACAAACTAGAAGATATATCTTTGATGAGTATATATCTTCATGATGAAAGCTCAGCTTTTCAGTTGCACTTGTCCTCAGTGACCCAATGAGCCACACCTGTTATGAAAATCCTGTCCAGTGTCAGCTCTAAAACAAAGCTTAGTGGCAAACATGTGGTTAAAATTATGGTGAGGAGGCGACTGAAGTATCAAGCATCAACAATGGCATTAACAATCTTTTCTGTCTTGGCACTAAACAATGGTTTTAACCAAACCGAAACATGTTACTACACAGCAAAAATATCCTCTTCAATAAACATTTTGTTCTATTTTCAAATCTATTTATTTTCTTTATAAATAGGAAAAGAAAATGCGTGAGCCTACTGCTTGATTGGTTTTTCGCAGCAGACCTCTCACTGACCACTTAATGAGAGACTCACATCAAAGCAACATTGCTTACAACTTAATCCCCCTTCGTCCCCACCTGCGACATAAATAAGCCGCAGTCAAGTTCAACTGAAAATGACACATGAAACATAACAAACTCTCTGTTCCCAAAACAACTCCATCAAGTTTAATCTTGAACAGACTGGAGTGTCATCAAGGGTTTATTTTGAAAGTGCGCAATTCTTCAAAGGACAAAATGCCACCGTGGGCAGATAACCAGCTTCAAGGAATGTTGTAATGTAAAGGAGGAGAAGATAGATGGGAACAGAGCTGTCATGATGCAGCAATGTTGTCAATGTCAGTTTCCAATATTGTTCTCACAGAATGAGCGGCGACAAAAACCAAATCAGAAGCTACCACTTTGTTTTCTTTGGGTATTTTCCAGTTTCTGCGAGCGAGACAGACAGGAGTGGAAATTTAAAAAGAAGAGACCATGAGGAATCACTGGAGTCACAATTGTGATTACAGGATCTACTCAAACATGTTCAAGCACACAAAACTCTAAAACTGGAATGAACAAGCCTGGCTAAAAATAGATGTGTGTTTATTACCCCCCTTCCTTCTCAATGGCTTCATTACACAAGGAGGTGTGTCTATATTTGGTTTAGTTTTAAGCTTAAGTAACTTTCAACACTTCCTATTGTTTTTGGTGCCGTAGGACAGGTCTATCGCTCCAGGACATGTAGCAGCGACACACGGTGCCATGAGATGAAAGCTTTCTTCAGTTCAGGCTTGCTCACTTGGCTCCGAATGTGCGAACAGTGGAACTGTGATCCACTGTTTCATACAATACCCTCATGTCCCGGCATGTTCTGGGGCAATTTAAGCAATCCTCCCAGCCCCAGGCACCTGGGTGTGCTTTGAAAGAGGCAGTTCATCTCACAGGTAGGGAGTTTGCAGAAAAGTAGTAAACAGACTGACATATCTTAACGGCTTCTCAAAAACAAAGACACAACTGATTTATAGACGGCTACAAAAACAGGTGTAGTTTATTGCAGAATCAAACATTTGAATTAGAACATTCCACCGAAAGACACTGATGACGGATTGTGCAAGACGCCATCAATCATTATGCAACATGACAGGGTGAATGTTGGTACAGCCTATGTGTGCCAGCTTAACTTTTGATGTGTTAGCTTAAGCAAAGCGGCGACTTTTTGTCTACAGCCTAACACCGTACTTCACCAGAGTGAAAACAACCTCAGCCGTCCGTAAAGCTGTGAATACACTGTATGATGTGAAACCGATATACCTGAGGATCGATATGTTTGGTCAGCATTACTCACCAGGTCCACTTCACCCAGGTTGAGCTGGGCACGGCCCAGGGTCTGCCAGCCCTCCCACCACAGTGGGCGGAACTTGACGGCCATCTCTGCAGCCTTCACTGCTGGGAACACTTCCTGCAGAGTGGTCAGTACCTGTGGAGACACAAACATGGATACAGACTCTATGGTGAGCTGTGGTGACATGGAGCTACGTTAACAAAACAACAATGTGATCCCCTTTGTTAAAACTGTCCTTGCAAAAATAAAGAACACAATTATTATTACATAACAACTTTTCTTCGAATGAAGGAGTAATGTTTAAACCTCTACATTACGGCTGTGTAATTACTGAATTAGTAAAAACATATTTTGATAACTGCAGGGAAAAATTGGTTTGTTACAGTTGCTCAACAGACAGTTAAGAGAGAGGAAGTAAAAACCTACAGTATCAGTCTACAACCGACCTTAGACTTCCTTTGAAAGGACTGGAGTAGAATTGCACAGTCATGATCACAAGATTACTCTGTAATTTACTTCTTCACTGATCGAGGCTCACATTTAACAGCATCACACTAAACTCATTAACCTTTTCCACCTTATTAATAATCATTTTATTCAGATGTTAAGACACAATTTGCAGCTGTAATTTTGCTTTGCTGCTATGTAGGAAACAAGCTGTCAACAGCTGATACCACTGTGCATCACAGTCTTTGGAAAAAATATTTTAATAGACTGTTATTGTTGATTATTGGCAGTGCTGGAGTTTGTTTTATTGTCCAATACAGTGCAGAACTCTGCCTGAGGCTGCGGCTGTAATACAAGTGCCTGGAAAACTCTGTAATGCAGCCAGAAGATTATATATGTGTTAGGTTCAAGTTTTTGTAAAGGAAGTATACTTTGACAGAGCAGCTCTCTGCTGGAGTGAAAGTCTATTATATTTATAATCAGAGAAACCTGGACACTTTGGAGCAAAGAAACCAAAGAAATAAAGTGAATGTGACCAGTGCCAACCTCAATAACACTTCAACAAGAAATCAAGATTCAAAAATAACAGCACAGTCTGATAAAATTCAATTCACAGGGGTTGGCTGCACCCAAACTGGGTCTGGAATCTTGGTCAAAGCTTTGTCGTTGCCAAAATACCTCTGCATGTCCAGTAATAAGCATCTTATAAAGCAAAGGTCTCTGCCTCAACACTCCAAAGCAAAACCCCATAAGATCAAAAGATGTTGATTAGATGGAGTAGAAATCCTCCATTTTCATTTCAAAGGGAGATAACTATCAGAAAAGCCCAGGTAACCTTCAGTACTGATTTAATCTCCTGACTTTATGACTAAATCTGCAACATTTTAATGACCAACAGAATCCCTTCACACGCTCAGCGAGAGCTCCTTCATGTTGAAATCCCTCACACAGCCAAACGGATGTGGGGACAGTTTCACAAATGGGGCCAATTTCCTCCAGAGCTCACTCCAGTCTGCTGTGATGGACAGACGGACAGACAGACAAAAGCTGATTGACTTAAAACGGAGGGAAAGTGATGAGGGGGAAGTGAATGGCCAGAGTCAGCATAACCACCCTCGTCATCTGGGCAAGTGATGGGAACATCATGAGGTCAGGCCTATTTTCAGCCTAATGATTGAGACTAACATCAAGACTGTTAATGGACACTAATAGCTTAGATGTGTTGTAGTCACAGCTGAAACTTAATAAAAACAGATGTCTGTGCGTATGTCATATTTCAACTCAGTCATGGCATGGAGCTAAAAAAATAAATAACTTTTGTGGTTGTGTTCTCCAGGCCTGGTCTTCTAATGATTTCCTTCTCAAATATCCTATGACGGATACTATTGCATTAGGCATACAATACTCATCATGTGATGTGAATGTTGAAGGCTATAAGCAGCTATTTTATTGTGTTAGTTGTAGTAAACGGATAATGAAATAATGTAGTGAGCTCTGTTCTTCTCAATAACTCTAGTGGCTTCTCTACTCTTCCCACATATAAAAGGGGATATTTTCTCAAACACGTCTACTGCATGTTAGAGGACAAGAAGAAGCGGCAACCGAGGAACAAAGAGACAAACAGAATCCCCACGACACAAAAGGTATCAACTCACAGTGAAAGAAACAAGAGAAAATAAAAATTAAATTAAGCTAAATCTCTCAAACAAAAAATCTGTTGGAAACATCCTGCAGACATTCCCCATGCTGATACCACTTATCTGACTTAAAAGCATACCAACATGAAAGAGGGACTATATATATATGGCCGTGATGTCTGATAAATAATCACATACACACAGTAGACATATATACACAGAGCTGCTGGCTATGATATTCTTGGTATATCCTGAACACCCCCCCATTCAGATATATGGTATTTCTCTGGCCAGATGTAAAGCAACTTCCTCGAACTCTGGAGGCAGCTGTTGGACTGCATCAGGTTTTAGACACACTTGCACTGTACCAAAAAACAGTGTTATATCAGCCATGAGGTCATGCTCCATTTTAACCACATTACCCAAAGACTGACAGCTTAAAGTATAGGTTTACATTTTTTTCAGGTTTATTTGAACCCTTTGGAGTCTGAGGATATTATACTTACAATGACATAACTATTTATCTAAAGCTGAAAGGATTTGTTGCTCTTGAACTATTTTTATCATCGATTCGTTAATAATAATAATAATAAAAACAAATATCTGAAGATATATACTTGTCAAAACAGACATTTTGAGACTTTGAGACACGTATATTACTGTGAAATGAATTTTAGGGTGTTTTGGGGTTTATATTGAGTAAAACATTTTTTTTAAGAAAGAAAGAAAGAAGAACAGGTGAAAGTGCTTATCAAAAAAAGTGCTATCAAACAGTTTCTCATTCATATATACCATAAACATATGCCATTAAAACAGACAAACAAAACTGACCTACCACCAAAGGAAGGGTTGGTAATTTGTTTAACAGATGATTTGTTTTACTGTACTTGTCGAAATAATCTTACAGTTGTCAGAAAAGAAATAAAAAGAAAATAAAGCAGATGGCCCTCACAGGAGTAATAAAGTAATAAACACAACACCAATGTCTGGTGAACCTCTCTGTCAGTAAACGACCTGCATGCACCCTTCAGCTGAAGCAGACGATAGCCAGAAGTTAGCGAGCGAGACGCCGAGAAGTTTGCTTCTAACAGCTGTCAGGTTGTGCACTTTCATATGTTTTAAGTGCGTAGGTGTGACGAGAGGACTTATGGGAGGGTGTGGGAGCTTTTCAAGAATTACCAACCCTAGCTTTAAACAACAAGAATAGTAGATATGATATAAATGGTATGAAAGCCTGAGTAAACAATAAAATATAGCTTTATATTATACCTGAGACTTCATCTCATACAGTAGTGGGTTGTCCGGGGTTAGCTGAATTGCCTCATCCCACTTCTTAATGGCTTCCCAGTGCCTGAAGAAAAAAAACACAGGGTTAAAAAAACCACACAATTCAAATCCGCCTCAGAAAACTGATGGAAAGATTAAACAAAAAGAAACCATAATCTGGCTGCTCCAGATACACACGCTGGGAAGAAGAGGAAATGTAATACACTTCTAAAAAGCTAGACATATGAATTATATTTAGTAGATAATTGTTTGTTGGTTACAGTTTAAGTTACCCGGAGCAATCAACACCTGACACAGAGAAGCAGGGCATCCACTTATATTGTCTCCACCCTGAGATTTGATGTAACCCTACATGGCCCCACATGTTTGTTCAGTTTATAACATGAAGATGTTTTCCATGTTTATTTTGTTGTTGCTTATTAAAGAGCCATCACTCGTATGACTGGAAAGCCGTCCTGATGATGTTTTTCCATTCTTGCATACAACTTCTCCAAAGCAGAGGCTACTAGACTTTTATGTAACATATCTGAGTCATGTTTCTTTATTCTTATTATTCTTATTATATTTAGTCGGACAGTCTCACTGTGATTGAAATCTATTTTTCTGACCTGGTAATGCAAACCAATCACAACAACACAATCAACAAAACAAAGATAGAACAAAAGCACAATGCAAGGAACTAAGAAAAAAGGAATTAAGAAAAATAGTTAGTTTGAGGACATTTTACAGTTCATTCCTTTAAGATGGTGCATCGTACCCAAAACCATTTCTGCCAAAGTGTGTGCGCACAGGGGTCTCTGAGGTAAAGTAGTTGCTGGATCACATTCTGTTGATATTAGATTTAACTTTGAGAAAAGATGTGAGGTAGTTTGGAACCTTCAAGAGTTGTTTTATAAATGAGTTACTTAGGATGGCAATTTCTTCTTGACTGAAGGCAGGTGTGACACAGAGTACAGTGATGATTACGATATCTGTCACGTATAGTGCAGCGTTTAACTGCTGGGGTACCGATTGGGCAGCATGGCAAGAGAGAATATCTCCATCTCCAAGGACAGAAGAACTGAATTCGAACAGTTTTACATCGGAAGAAGTAAAACATTTTAATTTTGAAATGAATTGTTGTATATGAATTTGTATGACTCACTGTGGGAGTCATTTTAATTTTTTTATGGCAGCTGGATTGAAGAGTGAAACCACTGATCGGTAGCTTTATCTATACGAGTGCTCAATCGTTAACAATAGTACAATTCTAAATTAGTTGTAGTGAGGTAAAGGTCCACATGACAGATTCATCAAAGCTTTTTTGTTTAGTTTTCATGCATAAATCATATTAATGCAACTTGGTGTCACGCAATTTGTTTCTCTTTTTGCCCCCCCATGCAATGGCTCTATGCCTTCCAGTTTAAGAACCACTGATCTAGACCAACAGAATGTGGTTTGTGGAGTATTATTATTTCACTTCATGTTTACATCACTATTCCCATGCTATTCCTGCACTATGCTTTGCTTCTTATTTTGACTAGAATAAAGATTTCTACTCTACTTCTCTTAAAGTTATTGAGTTGCACATGTTCTCAACACTTCCCTGTCCACCTGAGTGACAGATTGGCAGCACAGGCCACTGCAGGTTAAATAAACACACGCAGGTACACAGAGGTTAACGTCATCAATCTGTCGTGTCTTAAAGTGTCACTGCAGCCTCACTCCAAGCAGACGTCACAACCAAATGTCTGCTAATCTCTGCACTGATTTGTTTACCTGGTTTTAATGTTCTTTAGGTTTTTTAGGAGTTCTCCCCCCGTTTAACTCCCAACCGCCCCTCCCTCTCAAGTCAATATTGACTCAAGAACCACTAGGCCCTCATCAAGACAAAGATTTAGAAAAGATTATGAGGTGAAATCCTTGGTCTGAAACTATGTCTGTCATGTCTACATCTTTTATAGCCTGATGGAGGAGGAGCTACTTAAAAATTCGAAAGTTATTAAAACCAGACAGTGAGAACAGAGATTAGTTATAAAATTCAGATGATAGATGAAAAGCACTCGGATCAAGTGTAACAATCAGAGAGTGGGGAAATGGAACTCTGCTGAGGAAATCTTAAGAGCAGATGAAGTAAATGACACTGCCAAATAAAGTGAGGAAATTAGGCAATAAGAAATTCACCACATGAAATCCTGGAAGAAAAAAATGGCTTCACTACTGTTGAAGCAACCCTGTACATAAGTCGATAGCCAGGACAGAGACTGGGACTGAGACAAATCAAGGATGTTTAAAAAAAATACCATTCAAGATATTTGCAAGATGTAAGCATGCACTCATGCTGAGTTTGAAAACAGAGTAAAGAAAAATGAACTAACTGGGATATCTGAGGGACGTTTCTGTGCTGAAAAAAAAGTAGAATTGGGACATTATGACCACATCACACAGTGCTGTCCAAAAGAAGGAAACATGCCCAACACATGGTTTTGTAACCATGTGTAACAACATTAAACCAATAAAGCGAAAAGCTAATCTAAACCACAAATCTTAAAATGCTGAGCATTTGAAATGCACTATTAATGCCAGATTTCCTCTTGCAAGCTTCATTTTAGTCTAAAAAAATGACTCAGCATGGCAGCTGGAAGCCGGACAAATCAGTAAAATATGTGCAGTATTTGGATGATGTGACTTGTTGCTTCACAAAACCTCCCACACCTCCCAAAACTAGCGATTCAAGATACAAGGTGGGGGACAACTATACAAGTGCATGAACTTTTTTTGACCTCTATTTTAAAATAGGATGATGATGATTACGAAACAATTAACGTGTTTTTCTGACTTTTATTTAAAAGCGTTCCTGCTGATGTCTGAGTGAATGTGAGAACTGTCAGTCATCTTTTGTGCTTCCTACAGACGCCTGTTAAACCTTGCCAAAGTCTTTGTGTGGCTTTACTGCAAATGTTTTTAAGGCTAAAGACTCTTTCAGCTTTCAACTCTCATTTCAAAAGAAGGGAAAAAGTAAATACGCTAACCATAACCAAGTGAATATGCAGCCCATATTTAATAGTGCATTTCGTGTTTTGTTTCCCTTACACAGACAGACAATGGATACGTCTGATTTTCATTTCTTTACAGTTGATGAATGAAAGTGACAGTGATGGGGCCGTCTGTCATCCTTAGATTCTAGGACTGGCTGCAATTAAGTACACACACAGAC